AATGGTTATAAAAACTGAAACAGAAGTGAAACAAGTAGTAGGAAAGAGGAGAAATAAAAAGCGATACTTATTAACTATAGAAACTATGTTTTTTTTAGTAAAACCATGGTTAATTTTTTTTAAAGGAAGAGATATTGCATCATCACGGGGGACGTTTAATTAGCTTTTTTTTTCTCAGATTGCATTACCTATTTTTAAGCGATGGATATGAACGTAAGTTACAAGTACACGTGTTTTGTATGTTTGTTTTTAAATGTATAATACATTCGCAATAAGTTATTACCAACCGCTCCTGCGCAACCAACAGGACTCTTCAGTTGTCGCTCTGTTCCGTCTTGTTGTGTGTAAGACTCGCGCGACTTCCGCTTTGAGCGTCAAATATGGCCACGTCCAGACTAGAGATCAATTTTATCAGGTTATTATCGCGCTGTGAATCTCTGGCTTCAGAGAAAAGAAATGAGACAGAATGGAGACTAGAGAAGGTAATTCATAACAACTCTGCATTTCCGTGTACTTCTGTGCTTTTGAAGTAAATGTTGTATTTTCTGCATGATACAACAAAGCAATATTGCCAACGTCATTTATATATGAATTACGTGTCAAAAACAAGACACGCATTCATATTTATGCCTAATGCGCTAGGATTAATTAGTTAATGTCTTATTTGCTTTCTGTCTTCACTGTGGATATTTGTACATTTTTCAATGTAATATGCTGCTCTCTTATCATTTTTAGCAGAAAATCATATTCAATAGATTTACTTTTGTCTTTTCAAGTACGTTGGTGCTCTTGAGGAGATGCTTGTTGCCCTTAAAAAGAGTCCCAGGTAAGTTTATTTAAGATTACAGGCATTAATGAATCACATATTTTAAGTGTAACATAACCAATTCAACATTTATTGTATGAAAGAGAAATATATTCAAGTCAAAGTGATGTTAAGATGAAAAAATGGCTAGTAGTGTTTCTCCTACAGCTGTGATATAAACAGATATTGATGTAGATGATGAGTCATGATTTAAATCTGATTTATTATATCTCAGCAAACCAACACCGGAAGTACTGACGGACTACAACCGCAAGGTGGACTTCCTCAAGGGTCTCTTAGAGGCAGACAAACTGGTCAGTAATTATGCTATCTGGTCACCACTTGCTCAGTGACAGTAAAATGAGTCATCATTCTATGATTGTAACTAGAAACGCTTTGTTTGTGTCTAGCCGTCTCCAGCAGAGAAGTCTTTGGCCAATCAGTTTCTGGCTCCTGGACGGACGCCTACGATATCCAGCGAGAGAACGCCGGCCAGTAAGACGGTGCACATTCAGAGTAAAGCGCGATGTGAACATTATTACATATTTATATTATATTACCATTGTTGCTGTTATTATTATTATTATTATATTATTATACTTTATTCTAATAATAAAATAGTTATTATTAATATTATTACATACTTATTTTACAGTAATATAGGATTTTTTTTGCATCTAATCTAGCAAAGTGGTCACCAATTATCTGCCTCAAATTAATTATTGCCAGCTCAAAAGAATAAAACATAGTTGGTAGTAATCATTTTAAATAATTAAATTTTTGCAAAGATAATAAACAAAATAAATATTGTGACTTTATATTATCTGTATATATTCTATAAATATATTTAAATTTTTTACTTGCACCAGCTTCATGCCTTTCAATTCCTGATTTTAGGGATTATTTTTAAATCAGCATATTCAACTTGATAAAAAAAACAAACACACAATAATAATATTATTGCATAAATTTATTAATATTTTTGCATATTTTATATATTATATTAATATAATAATATTCTATTGTAATGTAATATTATATTTTAATATTATTAATTATTATTTGATTACTTTTCTGAGTGAAAATCACCACAATAAAGTGCTGCCTAAAAAGAGTGGTTCATAATGTATTATTGATTTATTTGTTGTGTGACCACTAGAGGGCAGCACTATATTAGTGTTGTGTTAGACCAGGGCTGTCCAAACTCGGTCCTGGAGGGCCTGTGTCCTGCAGAGTTTAGCTCCAACCCTAATTAAACACACCTGAACCAGCTAATCAAGCTCTTACTAGGCATAGAAACTTCCAGTCAGGTGTGTTGAGGCAAGTTGGAGCTAAACTCTGCAGGACACCGGCCCTCCAGGACCGAGTTTGGACAGCCCTGGGTTAGACTAAGTATTGAGCTTTCAAACCTAAGTGTGCTGTTACTACAGCAGCATGGCGTTACAAATCAGTATATAAACTAATATACGTTTTTGTTTTTTTTAATGACTTTGTTACCAAACAGTGCCATTAAACTCAAACTTTTGACATACTCTGAATAACTTTGTTAAACTGAATGACAGTGAACACACTGTAAACGCTATTCTTTCTCCTCAGACTCTCACTCAGTCTATGCGTCAGGCCGACATGAACTTCGAGAAGCTGAAGACTGAATCAGAGCGTCTGGAGCAGCACGCCAAGAAATCCGTCAACTGGTTCCTGTGGCTGATGCTAATCGTCGTCTCCTTCACGTTTATCAGCATGATCCTCTTCATAAGACTGTTCCCGCGACTCAGATGATGTTAATCATCATTAGAACCGCTAGATTTAATTGATCTATTACAACAGGTTTACAGACACTAGCTAAGAGTTGTGAATTTGATTGACAGCGTCAATCATTCAGTCAACTTCAGTCATTCCTGCAAAAATGTACTTCACCTGCATGCTGTTGTCGAGGTCATAACGAATTCGCGCCGAATCTCTGTTTAGAACGTCTTAAATGAATCAGTTGTTCGGTTGTTATTAACGGTAAGTATTTGATAACTACAAACTGTTCGTCAGTCATTTAAATAGGCTACGTAATCTGACGACAAACGTTCTTAATTCTAACTGAGACCGATGTTTTCGTCTTTTTAAAGATGCGGGCAAAGTTTCCCCTGAATTGTTTTCATTTCCAACAGGCTCGTATAATATTGCTTCATATAATACATTTTGACACTAATGAGCGTTTTGAGACGATAAAAATGACTGACAGTTTCGTCCAGCTTTATCTGAGTTTCTGTTACTCACTTTCTCACGTACGGTCGCTATAAAAACGGACCGAGCTGTTTTAAGGTCCGGTCGACTTGTCCAGACTCGCCGCGTCGATCAGGAAATGTTCTGGCAAACAGCAGGAAGTATTTTTGCCCGTCGGAAGCACAGATGGATACCGTCTTCTCCACCCAGAGAGTAAATGGCCCATATTTAGCTGCTAACGATCAATTTGTGTTTGTTCCCTGTATAGCACATGGACGGAGAAGCCTATTAAGTATTGCTCAGATATGGTTAACGTGTTTGTCCCACTGCGCAGCTCTATTGATGGATCTTAATGTTGATCTGAAGCGGCCTATGATCGTTTATTTGTCCGTGTGCTTAGTTTGGCTCCTGTAATTCATTCACATGAACAGATAGGCTAGGCTACTCTTCTTTTCTATCAGATGTGTTCGAAGTTAACTATGAAGAAAAAACAGGAGGGTGTAATAAAATAATTGGCAATCCGCCTACTTGTCTATTTTGTTTCAGTCCTTTTTACTAAGAAGTTGCGGTAAAAAGGTGCGGTCATTTGTTCTTGCTCGGCGAATTTTCGCAGACGGAATCCAGTCATTGCACGGAATGAAAAAATAAAGGTAATTGCGAATTTTCACCTCACATTTAGAACTTTTTCTCGCAATTCTAAGTTTATATCATTCGGACTTTTTGATGTGAATTTCAAATGTGAATTCTGAGGGCTAAAAACTCAGAATTGTGAGAAAGAATTTTGAATGTACAGCTCGCAATTCGGAAAATTAATATTTCTTAAACAATTTCATGATGTAATCTCAGAATTTTGAGGGGAAAAGTCAGAATTGCAAGATACACACTCAAAATTCTACCTTCCTCGCAATTCTGAGTTCACAACTCAA